AAGCCCCATACGTATATACACCAGCGGTTGAATACACGCTTGAATTCGTAAGCTCTAGTACCGGGTATTTAGCATCCCACGTCAGCATAAAGGACCACCTTAGCACCACTAAGAACGGGTCTAGGCCGTCGTTATACATAAGATGAATCCGAGCCTCAGTGTTTCTTTTATGCCAGTGTACACGGGGCTGCTGAGGGGCAGGATCTACATACTATCCAAATCAAACACTTATACATTTTTCTTTTTCTCTCGCCAGTAGTAGTAGTAGTAGTAAAATGTATACACCGTATCAAGTTCACTTACCACAATTGTCGTCTTTTACATGCGTACTTACCCTTGCGCCAAAACAAACAAAAAAGGTTAGCATCCTCGGGAGCTTAATCCCACACATACGGGGCGGAGAGAGAGAGAGAGATAAAGGGCACGTGCAGAAATCGGTGCGCTCTCGTACGATATATACGAGGTCAAAAGTGAAACCCCAGAGCTCCGAATATCTTCGGTATAAGCCGCTGGCGGGCCCCCTTCCGCGCGGCTAAATCTAGGGAGGGAAGGAGGGAGGGGAGGGGAGGGGATATTAAATGGAGGGGGGGTCAGGTGAGTTTCAGAATGGCGTGTCTCGTGGTGCGATTGCCTCGTGGGGGTTCTTCTTTTCTTTCAGGATAGTGAGTGGGGGTTGGTACGAGAGAGGCTTTGGAGCACGTGTAGTTTGCTTGATAAAGGAGTTTTTCAGAGAGGCAGATTTTGGTTATTGAAAAGTAAGGTAATGGTGGGGGAGGGGGGCATTTTGTACTGCGTACGAAGCCGATGTCAAGATCACGCAGTCAAATCAAGCTTTGTACCAAGCTCCCTTCCAATCAGCAGGCAAGACGGGGAAACAGTATGTCACTGTCGCGTGGGCGGCTCTGACTCGCATGCTCCCATGGCTCAGGGAGAAAGAACGGGTGGTGTGTGAGTACATGCCTCACCCACGCTGACGGAATCACCCAGCACAGTGACCACGCACAGGGGATACCATGTATGATGCACAAAGCGGATCCCACTCTCCAAATGTACCCACGTTACGCCTCTCCCGTCAAGGCGGAGGATCGTCTCAGGGTCTTAGCGAACAAAAAAAGCATTCACACGGGAAGGGGAAGGGGGGGGGGTTTATGAAGTTGAGACAAGGCAAGCCCAAGGGCTGAGCTAGGAAGGGGGGACAGCAGCTGGTCTATGCAAGACGATCACAGGACTAGAAACCAGAAACCGGTCGGAGCTGAGATGTGCTAGTAAGTATATTAGCCTATCCGTTCTGTCGGAGTGGATTCACCCGAGTCCGGTCGCGGGAACAGGCTAAAGACAGCCCGAACGGGGGTTTTTTTCTTGCTTCGATCTTCGCATGCCCCTTCCTGGGGGTTCTGCAGGGCGCCACGTTGTGGGGAGACACTAAAAGAGCTTGCCCTAGCATGGATCTGACAGATCTGGCGATCGCTCAAACCTGGTCGTGGAAGTGGAGTCCATTCACGCGTGGGTCAGTGCGACCGGGAAATACGCCATGATACACTGTACCATGCCGCCGATCTGGGGGTTACATGTAAATAGTAATTGCGTGTTTCATGGCTGGGAGTCAAACAGGGATGAGCAGGAGCAAGGAGGCCACTCGGGCGGTGAGGAGAGTTCTGCTCAAATGAACAGTATAGTACGGATTTTGCTAAATACCAGCGTGATCTACTTTAGCGACCAGACGCCGTTTTCTTCAATAATATCGATGGGGCGGTTTTCATCTAGAGATCTTCGGCCGGCCTCCAGAATGGCTGTTGTCGCAATGGTGTTCTTCAAAGTCGGTAGTGGCCGCGCATCCAATTCTTCGAGAGTGATTTCACCCGCGTTGAGCTTGTTGACGGCATCAATGAACTTTTCAAATGAAATGTACCCATAGCCAATTTGGCCTGCGAAGTTGCCCTCTTCATCAGGTGCGTACTTCATGTAGAATCTGTAGCTGTTCAGTACGCGAACCGGGGGTTTCTTCGTGTTCACTCAAACTTACGGGTTGTACCACAGCAAGCCAGTCTCGTCATCAGTGACGTCGTAACCGCGCTTAGCCTGGTTGACACGAATTTCTCCGGTGGATGCCATGTAATGGAAATACTGATTTGAGTGCACACCTGCCTTTTGCGGTGCTGCCCAGCCAGCTGTGTAAACACCGGTTCCGACTTTGTTGGGGTCATCCTTCTTCACCCAGTTGGTGAGCAATGTGATGGTATCCTCGGTAGCGGGATCGCAGCCCAGGCTGGTAGCGATTCCCTTGGCTGCACTCGCCATGACACGTACTGGTTTCCAACCCGGAATCATGGACTCGTTGATGTCAATGTGGTGAGAGTTGAGGTAGTAGGAAATGTCGGAATCCACACCGGCCCATGCTTTGAAAGTCTCTAGCTGGCTCCTGAGATTTTGATTAGATACTGTTTACGTTCTATGGCAAACCGAGAAACCAATGCGGGAAAGAAACATACTTTGGCTGGCTCATGTACGAGTAAAAGTAGTTGAAATCACCCAGCTTCTGTGCCCTGAAGCGCGCATCAGCGTACGCAGGGTCGTATCGCTTGTGATGCTCAATGTATACAAATACATTGTGCTTCTTTGCTGTCTCGAGGAGTTTCTGGTGGTGTTCTAGCAATTTGACTGCGGGCTTTGTGATGAGAACGTGGATTCCACGCTCAATGGCGTAAAGGGCAATGGGGTAGTGAGTGGTGTCGGGCGTAAAGATTGTAACTAACCGACGTCAGCGTTATTGCAGGGGTAATTCTACTATCAACTCGCAACTCACTCGCACTGCCTTTTGGAAGCGCATCAATCGCCGCCTTGTAGGCATTTGGGTCCGTCTTGCCCTCTTTTGGAAACTCCTCAAAAGACACGTCCAGATTGTTGTATGCCTCGGAAATGTTCTTTTGCAGATGCTCACCTGACGTCAAATCAGCGCCCTGCATATGCCCCATATGCAGTCCAGGCAGCATTGTTACTCACGGATTGCAGGGAATTTGCCGCCGGATGTGCCAACCATGGACAGTTTGCCCACCTTGCCACGTCTTCGGAGGTCAAACAGTGTCAAACCTACGACACCAACCTTTTTGTCAGACTTTGAGGCACCGCCTCCGACGAATCCGGTCGTGTACTCTCCCGTACCGACCTAGATGATGCATTAGTGTATAGTTTCGCTAAATTGATTGCGCTCATACGAAAGGGCTTGAGGGGGCGACGAATAAAGCCGCATGCAGCTTTCAGTATTGCATGACATGTCACGAGCTCGAGAGCAAGGCATGATGGGGTAGGAGGGAAAAGGAGGAGAGAAAAAAATGTGTTGCCGACAAGGGACTAGCAAACTTACCATGAGCACTTCTACCGGCGCCATGATGAATGTCTGTTCTGGTGGTGAAATGGATAGTCCGACCAGGCAATTGTGAGCAACTCCAGCAATTCCAGCAGTATCAGTAGTTCCAGGTATTCGAGAGAGGAAAAAAAGGGGACCAGCTGAGGGCTTAATTTGAAGAGCTGTCTGTAACCAATACCCGACACATGGCCTCATCGGCGTTTGAATGCATGTCTAGATGGCGGAAGATATATCGCCAAGCAGCGCGATGAGGGGCACGAGGGGCACGAGGGGCGCGCGTATTGTGGCCACAGCCGCGGCCGGATGACGTTAGAGCATGCTGCTGTTCGTGGGGCTGAATGCGCTGTACTGTATGGATGAAAAGAGGAGGCCCTGCAACGGCGGTTTTTTTTGCTGCTTGTGCACAGTGCTGTATGATGGACTTTCGTCGGACAAATAGGATCCGCGTCAGCCCACAAGCATTGGGCTAGCTGAGTGTCAGCGGAGGGGGATTATGTTGTATACGTAGTATGAGTGCGTGGTATCGGTAGTGCTCCGAGGGTGGTGGGGAGGGGGGCCTTGCAAAGTTTCCCCAGGGCCAAGCACATAACCCCCACGTTGACCGCGGCGGCCGCCATTGGTGGAAGAACATAAATGTAGCATTTACAGGGCAGACGTCGGGGGACGGCGAGACTGCGTCTGGCATGCCACCTTGTCTCGAGCTGCAGCATGTTTCCATCCGACAGCCGCCATGTTAGTCACTACTATACAAATGGCCGCATTCTGTTCCCGCCCTTCGCGCTCATGTAGCCCGAGAGCCGTCAGATGGCCCACCGCGTTGCCCCCGGGGAGTCTGATGCTGTCACTGCCACAGGCGAATCTAGGACGCGCAATCAGCGAGATATTGACCACGGTACCACGAATAGGCTCTGCCGCACTTAGCTCTTCTGGCCTCTAATGCACCGATTGTCTCCATCTCGCTGTAGTATTAAAGCTGACCAGACCCGTGCCCTGCCATGGTAGTTGCTAGTTTTTTTTTCATCCAAGCCTTGTATTGCTATCCATCCATTACTATCTATACGTATAAACATATATATATATCCCTATCTTCCTTTTTGCCGTTTACGTGCATCCTGATTTGCTTTGCTCCCTGTAGCAGTCATGGCATCCAACGGTAATGGCACCAATGGCCACACCAAGCAACGTACGCCTCTCCGGCCAGGCATCTACTCGCCTACCATGACTTTTTTCAACCCAGAGACCGAGGAGCTAGACATTCCAGTTATCAAGAAGCATGCAGTACGACTTGCCGAGGCCGGCCTTGTCGGTCTGGTCACCATGGGATCAAACGGAGAGGCCGTGCACCTATCGCGAGCCGAGAAGACTGCAGTCACTCGAGCCACACGTGAGGCTCTTGACGAGGCTGGCTACCAAGACGTGCCCGTCATTGTAGGCGCATCCGAGCACGGCATCCAGCTCACCATTGAGCTGTGCAAGGAGGCCGAGGCCGCTGGCGGCGAATATGCCCTCATTCTACCCCCCAGCTACTACCGCTACGCCATAGACGAAGATGCCATCTACGAGTACTTTACCAAAGTAGCAGACGGCTCACCTATCCCTATTATGCTATACAACTACCCAGGCGCCGTAGCCGGCATCGACATGGATAGCGATCTCCTCATCAAGCTAGCCAAGCACCCCAACATTGTCGGCACAAAGTTCACCTGCGGCAACACAGGCAAGCTCACACGCGTGGCTCTGGCCACCAACGCCTGCACGGCCAAGTCCAACAGCGGCGGCTACATGGCTTTTGGCGGCATGGCCGATTTCACCGCCCAAACCGCTGCCAGCGGCGGCTCAGGCATCATTGCCGGCGGCGCAAATGTTGTCCCCAAGACGTGTGTCAAGGTGTGGAATCTCTGGGCAGAAGGCAAGTACGACGAAGCCTTTGAGCTGCAAAAAGTGCTCAGCAAGGGCGACTGGGTCTTGACCAAATCCGCCATCCCAGGCACAAAGTCTGCCATTCAGTCATATTACGGCTACGGCGGCTACCCTCGCAAGCCGCTCAAGAGGCTGTCGCAGGAAAAGGTTGATGCTGTTGCGGAGGGAATCAAGGAGGTTATGGAGGTGGAGAAGAGTTTATAATCTAGTTGTCTGGGGAGAAAAGAAAAATAGATATCCATTTTTGTTGTTTTTTTCTCCTTCTTCTTGTGTTACGTTTGTGTTAGTCTCCTCTGCATGTCCCCTTTTTTGCTGACCTGAAGATACAATACACTACTACATACACTGGAACCCAGCCAACTAGCGCCACACAACTAGTGCGTGATATTTCTCTTTTTTTTAAAAAAAAATGACAGTCGCACATGCTACTATTAGACCCTGAAGCGGCCCCGGAAATCCCCACTAGTTTTCTTGTTTTCTTTTTCTGGCTATTTTGTCCATGGCGCCTTCCATGTCACATTCGCTACCCATCGGTGGACTAAAAACACTGTCTCCTCTAGTCGACACTACGTCGGCGCCTTGACCTAATACAGAAGCTGCACTGACCACGCTAAGGAGCATCTTCTGAGTGTCCTCCCTTCGCTGGCTAGCCTCAGACCCTGATTCATGACACCACACCCCATGTAACCTACCCAGCGCACATCTGGGGGAAACGGCCGTAACACTGTGTTTCGCTTCCTTCTTCCTTCTCATTGGTTTACTATGATTGGTGGACACGAGCAACGGGTGGTACAAGAAAGGTAATCGAGATCAGAAAAAGTCGAAATACGAGGCATCGATACCTGTTTGTTTTTGCTTGATTGCATCGTTCCTGAATCGCTTCAAGGAAGAGAGAAGAAAGAATAAAAACATTATGAAGCAAAAGGTTTCGAATGTACAAGTCGGGTCGTAACGAAGCGAAGCGCGCCTTTTTTTAGTTTTCCATGCCATCGTAACCCCGCGCAGTTTCCCCCAAATAGTCGTAATCGTACAAAATCCCTGGGTAATAGTAGTGTTTTAGCCAAACCAGAATTCGTCTGGTTTGCTCCCTGACGCCGAAAATTCACTTTCTCAATGCAACCCAAACCCATCTAAATTGCTAGACCGTTGCCTAAACTGGTCCATCGGTATAGCGAGAGCACCTCTCTCCGTTTGGCTGGTGTCATCTCCCTCGCATGGCCATGGCCCTTGATTTGAGCCAATGTGGATATCATAACTTTCCGGAAGTTACGCTGTGCGAAGTCAGTATCCTGCAGATTGGACTGATTACGCAAACGGCTTACCTGATACTCTGTGTTGAGCGTCACCACAGCGGCTTCGTGTGCCCGTACAATTGTTTCGCAGGCACGAATCACATTCTCGTTGGTCTCGGTCGACAACTTGTCGGCCAAGAGCAACAGAATCAAGCTTCCTTGGAGCAGATACTGTTGAATTGGTTAGCCAGATTTTCTACAAAAAAATAACGCAACGAGATTAGGGCTGGCCGTCTCTGAAACTGCCAAACCCCATTAAATTAATACGGAATCTCACTTACCATGCCGAACAGGTAGGGCATAAAGGATAGGTCCGGATCGACGTCAAGAATTACGTCGACTGCATGGGCCGCTGTGATGGCGTTTGAAGTCGCGGCGAGGAAAGACGGTGAGCACACCCACATGTTGTCGTCTTCCAAAAGCGCCACCGGGTCCCATTTGCCGTGCAACAGAATATGAAGCACGTGCATGATGTGTGTGGCATATGCGGCAACCTTTTTTGTTTGATGAATCCATTCGGCTCGAACCGGATCCGGTGTAGTGTTTGGTTGTACTTCCTCATTCGGGCCGCAGCCGTATTGCGCTTTGAACTCCTCAATGCTGTACGCGTATCGCTCCAATTGGCGGGTAATTTCCGCCTCATGAAGTTCCCAAGATGACCGCTGACCGAATCTTGGGTGGTTCTTTTGCGCGTTCAAATCTACAATGTCGCCAAGGATTGTCATTAGCGGCAGGAAGAAGCCAAAAACATCGTGTCTGCATCATGTCAGTACTGCTCAAATGACAAATTACAGAAAATGAGATGTTGGAAATGCCATGGGCAAGGGGATTGTACGTACGATGTGCACTGAAAGTTGAGCCCCCGCTTCCGTGGTCCTGCGTGTCCAGTGTAGAATTCGCCCTGTTGCCAAAGAGTGTCGGGAACTGGTTGAAATAGATCCTCGCACTCATTGTCCAGCATGGCCAGCGGGCGATTGTAGCAGAGTCCAAGATGTCGATCGACCATGTAAAGCAGCCACCACAGCCGCCGCCTCTCCTCTTTCATTTCTTCGATGATGGCTGCAGCTGGGGTACCTGCGGGCGCTTGAGCACCGGTGCCGTCTGTTACGCCAACATCAACTTCTCCATCAGTCGTGTTTCCTTCGTGTTCTTTGGTCGGCTTTTGAGACAGTTCTCGGCCCAGTTTTAGCTCCCTAGCCAGCGACCACGCCGCGTTCCACCACCTCAAAGAAGCCGCCTTGTACTCGCTTGCTGAAGTAACCACTCCGAGGTTGATATATGTAGCAACGTCGTCTAGTGTGCTGGTGGGTGGCAATGCTCCGTCTGCTCTTCCGTCATACCTTCCTATTACCCGATCCACGCCAAAAGCGTCGTGAGCAGCAGAAGTAACGCCAGGTCCAGGGGTGAAGCCGTGCGAGGATGGAGAGTGGACCAGGGGTTTCAACAGTTCGACGGTCAATTTCCACAGTTTTTGGCTAATGATGGCTCTTGCTGAAGGTGATGAAGTGAGATAGCTGGCTTCGCTGGTTTGAGCTGCAACCCAGAGCATACTGGCTAGCAGGGCTGGACTGCATCGCCTTGGGTTATGTTGGCGCAAAAAGCTCCGTTTCCTAAAGACAGATCCAAGAATGTATGGTGAGACGGGCTCCATGAAGACGGACGAAGAGCTCTGGAAGTAGAATTCGAGAAGATCGCAGGCGGTGGGGATGTTCATGATGCTACCAAGATGTGGTAGTAGCGGCTTCAAAACAGGGTATCTGCAAGAAAGCATGGGTCCGCTGTGCTGTGATGAGTTTGCGCTAACGCCCGACTGTGGTGATCCAGTGTCTGCAGAGCCATAGCTGTGAGGTGAGGATTGGCGTGCAGCTTGTTGGTAGTGCATATGGTAGGCCATGTTTGCGTATTCAGTGGGGATGGATACTGGAGTGCCATTGGAGCCGGGTATGAGGTGGATGCCTGCTACCTGTCAGCAAATGCAAGCCAATGCAGAGTACTTTGCATGCATGTGCGCAGTACTCGAGGCTTGTTCGTTCAACATACCATTCATGGCATACATGAGCTCCTCGCGCGGCATCTCGGCATGCATTGGGGGGTAAGCGGCACCGGATCCAAGGAGCAAAGGGTCGATCATCATGTGGTTGACGGGAGGGTCAAAAGCGGCGCCAGAATTCAAAGCCTGCCAGTCACCTGTGGGCAAGCCGGTTTTGGTAGATGGGAAATGCTGTACGACGGGCGTGGCTTCTGATTGCGACCACACATCCTCTTCCATTTCGTTCATGACGCTGGGCCTCTCAAAGTAACTGTTGATTCCATTTGGCGTCTGTGGACTACCACCGCCACCGGCAGCGGCCTCTTCTCTTTGCTTCTGGATGTGTCGCGGGACCTGGGGAAGGTGAGTTTGGGAGTGCATGGATGGGGGTGTGGTTATGCTTACTTTTCCTCTGCGTTTCTTTTCACGGTTGTACTGGCAAACATATTCAAGTTCTATGCAGCGCGAGCATGGTGCCTGACCGTTACACCGTGTGCGCATTCGGTGGCAATGGTCGCATGCGCGGCTTACTCTGCGCTTGACTGGTGCTGAGCCTCTTCGCTCAATCTTTGCCGCATCCTGGGCCGGTGCTGGTGCTGCTGTTGTGGACTCCATGTCTGTGAAGGTTGATCAAGTTGAGAGACGTGAGTCCAAGTGGGTGCCTTTTTGGTTGCTAGAAGGGGTGATGAGCAATTGGAAGAGGTCAAGGCGGCAAGGACACGGAGGCGGACGTACTGAGGCAGATTGTTGGTGGTGGCCCCGATGAAGAGGCGAGAGTTTGTTAGGAGAGAAGCAAAACGGAAGTGACGTCGGGGAAGAACAGTTGAGGAGGAAGGAATCGGCAGCGGTAAATCTGGGGACAAGCGCGGGTCATGGGATACTTGGGGAGCATATGTGGGCCTGGGACAAAGGTATAGTGGTGCTACCTAGGTGCCGAGGAGACAGGCGGGCCAGGACGAGGGATGCAGCGACGGTTTTGCAGGGTCAGTGTGACGATCTGTGGCTTGAAGATTCCATGCGTCCACGCGGGCTTCGAGAAGCGAAGTCTGGTGTGTAGCAATATCAGAAGACGGAATGTTTAATTCCCACACCCATGCATGGATGTACGAGGAGCGGCCCATTGGCTACGGCAACCAGGCTCTGGGGCAGCTCGTGGCAGGCATCACGACACGGCGGGCAGGGGGACCGTTGGCGGCGCAAGAGGGCGCCATTGGAACGGGTAAAACGACATTAGCCGGTGGTTACTCACCTGCTGTCTAGGGCAAAAAGCGGGGCTGCACCACCACCGACGACGAAGACTCGACTAACAGCAGACTAGCAGACTAGCAGGCAGGCAGACTGGCAGACTGGCAGACTACTGCGGACGTGTGTGCGTATGGTAGGTATTATTACTGCTGGCGTGTATGTACATGTCTATGTACATACTATTGCAGTCTGCCCCCTCTCTCCCTCTGCTCGCATCCATGTCCCTGTTCATGCCCCATGCCCATGTCCATGGCACACTCGCACTCACACTTGTTGACGCTAAGTACTCGAGTAGACGCCAGACAGTTCACGCCTAGCGCCTCCCTTCGTCCATTGCCCATTGCCCATTGCTTCCTGCCTCGACGACAACAACAACAACAACAACAACAACGACTCACCACACGTCAGCTTTGCCGCTCATCCCTGCTGCCTGTTCCTGCGGTCTTCTCCAGGTTGTGGCTTGTCGCGCCTGACCATGACAAACGCTCCCGCGGGGCCGAGTCTGTCTCTCTTTTTCTCTCTTGCGCAACAACTGCACCAGCACCGTCGGAGCCATTGTACATACGGTAAGTACGAGTGAGTAGTGTAAGTAGTACGTAGGTACATGCCATGCCGCTCTCTCCACCGCCACCCCTCTCCACGCCTCGCCTCGGCCAATACTACATGCACACGCTCCACTGCTCATTGCCCATTGCTCGTTACCCGCTGCCCGCTGCTGCTCGACCATGTACATCCATCCATCCATCCATCCATCCATCCATCCATCCATCCATCCATCCTACTACTACTACTACTACTACTACTACTACTACTACTACTACTTACTCGTCCTGTTTCTGCTACTGTGCCCTACTGCTGAAACCCCTCTCGCCGTGTTGTTTCATGCCCACTACTAGATAATAACAATGCTGCTCCTGCTACTGTTGCTCCGTCACCACGGCCACCGTCCACCACCACACGTCAAAACATGTACGCCGCCCTGCCACATGAAACCCTATGCCGACGGCGAACTCCTCCCTCGTGGCCGGCGTTGCCTTTGCGCACCCGCCCCGCCAAGCCACCCCCGGCAAAGGCCTCGAACTCACCAGCACGTCTGAGTCCTCGCCGTACCCACATGGCTCGGCCTAGCCTGCGACGTGGTTTCCGGCCTGCTTGTGCTCACTAAACTCGACTGCCGCACACTGCACACAGTCCGGCTGTTGCGCTGGGTCAAACCTGTCGACCATGTACCACCCTATTCACGCTGCCGGGTCCTGGTCATGCCGTGCTGCGCGCTCATTGTCCAGTGCCACCGCCGCTGGTGCTCCCGCCCTGCACCAGCACGCACAAGCACACGCTTACGGGCTCGGGCGGCGTTTCTGGCAAGCTAAGCGAGCCCACCATGCCTGCAACCCCGACTCCGACATGTCCTCTTCGGCCAACGTCACTATTTCCTCCGTCCAAATGTGGAACACCACACATTGGCCGTATTACTATTATCAAACCTGCCCACGGCCCTGCTCACCCTTCCAGATGCAAAGGTGAACGGTCCAGCTGATGGCCGTCCACTCTGCCCCCAGCACATATAAGTGGATCACGGTGGATCTGCACGACAGCATGCCACCGGCGGGTCCGCTTATTACTGTTACTTCCCACGGGGGAGGGGACAGTCTGGCGCCTTTTCTCGCGCTTGGTCTCCCAGGCACACGCTCGTCCACGCATCCCATACAAATCACACCAAACCCCTTCCTTCACATAAGTCGTCCGTATTAATCCTGCAGTCGTCTCATTTCTCCATTTGCTGCATTCCACCACAATTCTCTGTAGCCTGCTGTTTCAGCCACGTGCTAGCGCCCGCCTGCGAGCACCTCTCTACCAAGACGAGACCGCTCGCCGAAGCAGAGGCATGTCATTGTCGAGCTCCTCCGTGCTGTGATCGCCGCAATTTCTGTCCATGCAATCTCGTGCATAGAGATGAGAGTGCAATCGCCGGCCCGTTGAACGAGCTTGTGCACGCAGTCCTGCCTGGCTGGCCGATATACGTTGAAATTGCTTCTTTCTGAAAGACTCCGAATGGGCGACTGCCCAACACGCCCACCTCCCGCTTTGGCACCAGGCCACACGCGGCCAGGACGGGATCCACAACGGCCGTACCTCCACACTTGGGTCTTAACAGTGTGACCCTCGCCGGGCTCCTGCATGTAAGCGACAACGTCTCAAGCAAATCACACCACGACTTTATCTCTCCTCAACGCTACCCACTCCACTTCAGATTGCACGCTGGGCCACTGCAGCCTACGCAAAAGAGGTCACAAACCCACGGCAATCTGGCCACACAGCTGCTATAGCTTTTTTTCATCGACCTGCTGTATTGGTTGCAAGTCAGAAAACGACCCACGCGCTCCCTGTAGATTACCTGACCGCTCATCACCTAGGCGCCCCCACAAGGCTGCTGCCATGCACTGCGCCCTACCTACAAGTGACGCCAAAGCACATGTTCGCAGTGTTTGTGAAGAAGATGGCTGTGTCCAATTTTGATTTCGACAGGCCCTTGCCACACGCTACATCAACCTGCCTAGGGACACATACACCTCCTGTATATTAAGGGTCCAACCATAAGCCACTTGATCATCAGCGATATAAAAGGACTTTGAGCCACACCTCGGTACATGGCAGCAAGGCAGCAGGGTAGCAGTGCAATGCAATCCTCCGGCATAACCTCACTGGCGAGATGGCGTCGCGTTCTGCCCGCCCTCGTGTGTTACTTTTTTCCATGCACCCCAGATTCTCCCACCAGTGAAACCCGGGAATACGAAGGTGCACCAAGATCTTGGGATGAGGGGCAAGCGTCAGTGTCAGCGTCGGATTTCGGGTCAGTGGATGGTGCCCGTGCTACAGAACCACGCTGGCACTGGCGAGCCCTATGTACCCTGTCTGCCAACCCTTTTTTTGCATCATCATTCAATTGATTTGACTTTGATTTGGCTAGTAAGGTAATATTAACCGTCGCCATCGAGGCTGATGCAGCAACAAGCACGATTGGTGGGGTGGGCGCCGCGTACCGCAGCGGCTGTGCCATTGCAAAATAGCCGTAGTCCAATTGCTACGGCTCCACACCCTCACGGCTGGGAAACCAAGATCCTCCCCCCAGTCCCGCAGTCGAGGGTTAGGCGGGAGCCCAACCAGCGAATCGTGACTTGTTGCTACCACCGCGTCGCATGAGCGGCTCGCACGATCATGCATCATCGACTATTAATGCGGGGACAAGTATTGACCTGGGGTAAGAGCTGTCGATAGCCTGCAGCAGCTGGTGGTGGTGGTGATGATGGTGGGTGGGTGTGCATGCTGACTGACGGACATAGACAGGTGTTGACGCCAGCTTGACAACGGATAGACATGGACATCAGATTGTTTGATGAACGGGAGTGGGTGGGGCAAGAGGCACTAGCACTGGCACTGGCACTGGCACTGGCACTGGCATTGGCACTGGCACTGGCACTCACACTCTGGTCTGGCAGTTGTTGCGACTCGACACACAGCCCTAGCCTGCGTGCCTGCCCTGCTGATGAGGTGCATGGCCCAATATGGATGATGATGCAGGTGCTCTGAGCGTCCCTGGACTAAAACACACCGTCTTCTCCTCTCTCGTTGTCAAACTCGTCGGACGCCTTTCATGGCTCTTCGCCGGCCACACCTCACGAGACCCCGATTGTCCTTTGTTTTTCCCGTTACAAGACAAGTTAACCACTGTGGTTCCGACCGACTGACCCCCCGTCGCCCAAAGAGTCTAATGTAAGTTTCGGATGTTGCAAGCCAGCCCGCATGGTGCACACAAGCATCCGTCTGTCCATCGTGGCGACCCTGTTCCCCCAACGCGCCCCAACGCTTGTCGCCACCCCTCAACCCGTTTCATACAAATGAGGCGTAACGCGAATGACAACAATCGGTGCGTCTGCGGCAATACACGCCATGGTTCGCGGCGCTACTTTGGCTGCTACTGTTTGCACAACTGGCTTTGGCTGCGAGCTAGCATCGTGCCGACATAGCGTGATATCTTTGGCTGCCCATCCCTGCTGCATAATCTGAGCGTGGCGAGCTCATCCAGTACTAAGGGTACCTACTAAGCTTACCCCTGACATGCAATGAATTACGCAACGCTACAATATGGCAAGTACATTCCGAGGTTCACCACTACCGGTGTCGCTTCCTTTTCTCCATTCACACAAGTCACGCCCCTAGCACAATTTCGCGGCTTACGCCCAACCCAGACTAGCCAGCTTCTCTCTCCAGCCACTCTCATGGCGTAGCGACAGGATGAAACGTTCATCTATCAAATTTGTTCGTACGTATGTACTCTGCCAAGAGAGTGCAAGGAGTTTCACGATCACCATAGACTAGATCGGATCGCCCTGCCCTGCCCTGCCCACATCGGAACACCCTTGTTTCTGAAGCCGATCTAGAACTCCGCAAACAGGACTTTACCGACTCTAGAAGCATACCCATCTACGAATAGTAGCTCCCCAGGTCTCAGATCAGCCAAGACAATCTTCCCGAAGCCTGGGACTTGGTTGACCGAGTGAAAGTCTGCGTGACTCACGATGCCACGACACATGAAAGTTTTTTTCTTCCTCCTTATCCTTTTTTTCTCGTCGTCATCTTCATGATCTTCATCTCCTTCTCGGGCGCCGGCTGATACGGTAGGGAAGTTACAGGGCTCGTATTCGTATTTGCGAATGAGTGTCACACAACACACACACACACACATCTCAATACCAAGGTTATTAGCAAGCAGTAGAAATCCCCAGATCCGGGGTATGACCATGTCGGCTGCACCTAGCCAGAAACTTGACGCTACTAAGAACAGCACCTCCACATCTTGTATACATACAATTAAGAATGCTTGCTCTTAGAGCAACTGTTATCAGCTGCGGACTAAGTCTACGCGCAACCTACCCTACTTTTGCTTCTCGGCGTCTTCCTTCATGCCGGCCTGGACCCACGCCTGACTCTTAGCAGCCTGCTCCGCCATCTTAGCCTTGTCCTTAAGCAACTCCCTCATGGTGTGAGGATCGGGGACGTGGCGGCCTTTCTCCACCCCCTCACGTGCTTCCATTCGGTCCAGCCAGGCCTGAACTGCAGGGAACTTGTCCAGGTTGACGCCTGCCCAGCCGGCAGCCGCTCCCCATCCATAGTGAGCAATGTCTAAAGTTTGGTTAGATGACAGGAGATGAGGAGTCAGGCGGGAGAGTATGTGTGCCTTGGGAATGAGTAATGGACGTAGTAGTAATCTCGGGGGGAAGGGGATTGCCGGCTTATTGCATTTCGGTGGGTTGCGGGAGAGCCCTATCCGCCGCATACATAAGGTTTTTACAACAAACCGGTTTCATTTTCTTTTCTCAACCACCATCGAATGATTGATGATGAAGAGACAGGAGCAACAAAACGGCTATGCGGTGGCAGAGGGGGAACGGAGAATGCAGGATGTGACCATGTTTGAATACATGGACTGGGTAAGCAACAACGCTACTCACCGGCAATGGTGCACTTTGTGCCGCACAGGTATGGCCTGTTGTCCGATGCGAGATGCTTGTCGAGGACAGAGTAGAGACGGCGTGTCTCAGTTTGGTACCTGTTCACACCATACTAAATCCATGGAGAAACACACAAACGTGTCAGCACTCTTTTCCTATTTCCATGCATGTGCATGACGCAAAAGCTGCCTGCGTTGCTTACCTCGATATGCTCGGGGGCATAACGCGAGAAATGATCTGTTTGAAAGGATTTTGTTAGCCTTAATCCATCTCCTCTTTTTTTCTCGTTGCGCTTTTTGCTCTCCTGTCCCTCTTGCCTTCCCCTCCAAACTCTTTAGTAGATAATGTAGATCACAAGGCGGCTCGAGGATCTTTGCCTCTGTTTGGCAGTTTCCCCGCCCCGCTTCGTCCCCCCACATTCCGAGGCCAGATTGATTGACTGACGGCGGGAGCAGGCAGCCCACCTACCCTCAATCAATCAATTAATCAGCCCAACCCGCCTGACGCGCAACTGGCGTGCGCATCATGTTGCTCAGGGATCATGAACAGAAAACGACGAAACCCCCCCCTTTTGCCAAGCCTTACTATTACCTTGCCTTCAGGCCTAGTCAATGGCGCCCCTTTGCATACTAACCCCCTCTCTTACTCTCTTACAACGATCTTGATAATCAAACGAACAACAAAAAGAATCGAATACCCCCCCAACCCAACCCAACCCAAAAAAAATGAAAGATTGTTGTTGGGGTGTAAAACTTACTAGCCTGGCCTTGCATAGGACCTACACCGGCGTTTTGGAAGAACAACCAATTGTTCATTTCGAACCACTCGCGCGTTCCCTTGGGGAAACTAATCTTGTACTCGGTGTCGTAGCGCTCGACGAGGTATTGCATGATGCTGCCGGATTCGAAGAGGTTGATGGGTTTGCCGTCGGTGAAGGTGTCGGTTAGGGCGGGGATGCGGCCGTTGGGGTTGATGGCGAGGAACTGTCATTGGTTGTTTGTTGGGATAGTATTCGTAAGGAGAGAGATTGGATGAGGAGTTAAGACGGGACCTACCCAGTCTTCCTTTTGGGTGTTTTTGGATATTTCGATCTTGTGGACCTTGTAGGGGAGGCTGGGCGAAATGGTTAGTTATCTTGATCTTTTTCTTGAGTGTTGTCGTGTGCTGTTTGTTGCTCAATTACGGATTGCTGCTCTCTATATTCCAGACTATGGAGCTGATAGAACATGCGTGTGATGACTGCCATCTTCTACATCTAGAGGTTGGACTGAGTATAAGGAAAAGTGGAAGATTGACGGAATACTCTGAAGAACGATATACCAGCATCGTATAAGAAATCTGAGCAAGTGGCGATTACATCTTGCTACTCATCGTGAAGCTCTCAATATCTCGTTATTGTTCTCGAGATGAAGTGACACGATTCCAAGTGTCCTGTTCGTGAGCGTATACGATCAAAAAGAGAGAGATGCCTTGTATGACAACAGAGAAAATGGACAGAACCGATTCAGATGACGCAAGATAACAAAAATATGCAGACTATTGAGAAGGTATTTGTAAAACAGAAAACAAAACACTCACCCCAGCTCCTCCAAGGTAATGGAGATCTTGATGCCATTCGGCGTCTGCGTGGTATAAAGCGTGATATCAGATTGCTGCGACATGTTTGCAGTTGCGAAAAATGCGTAAGTCCCTAGTACTTGAAAACAAAGACACAAAAATTCAAAAGCGTCGTTTCTTTTTCTTAAATGCGATAGAATGAAACGTAGAGGGCACGTTTTGTGAGGATCAAAGCGCGCTGTGTAATGCTGGCAAAGTGGGGTTCAATGAGGGGCACACGAGTGTGACGAATTTTTCTTTGCTGGGGAAAAACCGCCGACACTAGTAGGACTTTGAAGGCATCTGGTACTCGGGCTAAAAGCTAGTAAATAAGGCCGTTGCGTGGGTTAAGAGTGTGCAAAGTAACTCTAATGCGCGCACGTTTGATTGGGCGGCAGTGTACTACTAGGTACCTTGCTGCATTGGTTTAGATTGTACGGGTAGACTAATTGCGTGATATTATTTTTATTTGCGGGCATGTTGGGCAGGAATAGAGTACCAGATCTTGATATTTCGATATCCGGTTAGGGCTAACTCCAAGCGGTTAACTTTCTGAGGAACCCATAGTAGTAGGGACGGAATGCTAAGCATCTACACGTGACAAGTATACAAAAGGGAATTTTTCCGAAACAAAAGTTTATAAAGACATAATAGTATATTTTAACTAGTGTTCATCTATACTTGAGCTTTACATCGTTGTTCTAATGGATTCGCCTCATTATCTCGCCTAGGGACACTGTCGGGGAAGTTATAGTATTAATCATCTTTTTGTCTGAGAACAGGGAACGAGCATTCTATTATGAATGATCTCTTTCCCGTTACCAGTCGTTGTGGAAATATTTTAAACGAGATCAGGCTATCAACACAGGTTATCTCAGGATGGGTCATGTTGTGATATAAGATTTATTATTTAGATCTGCGAGAGATCTGGCCGATGTGGAGGGTAGCAGGGGTAAGTTTTCACAACCAAGGGTGTTCCTTAGCCAATTCTTATGCTTAAACACTTGATAATACCCTTAGCTAGTCTTGAGATAGTGTAGTAAAGGATACAGAGCACGTAGTGTAATATATAAAGGCATATGAACCAATTATTCTTGAAATGCTGCATGACCCTTGGTTGGGAAAAAACATACCCCTGTTACCCTGTAGTACCCACGCTAATCTATATTCGAGAGGCACCGTTACATGGGCAGTGACTTCTTCATATGTGGGGAACTGCCCTTTCCACAGTTTAGATGCGAGTCCATAGAGCAGTTGGGGTAAACCAATTTGGTCAATCCAGTGCCAAGCATTAAATACCTCTATAATACTTGATTTCAAAGCAGTGACTGACTGAAGAGCCAAGCAAGCAGTGGGTTGGTAAGCGGAGTGAGTTTGCAGCTAGTCAATGGTGTCTTGATCAGATCCGATACGGCATCCGGCTACTAGAAGACCCGGGCTAGTTGCGGATAGTAAGCTTAAAGATTTATATTAACGCACAGCATGCACCTTAGTTAAAGGTTTTATCTAATTTCAGTCAGTCTAGTTCCTGTCTTGGATCTGCACATTCCGAAAATGCCAATTACCATCGCAATCGCTAGCATCAGCAGCACGCTTGCTCTTCTCGTCGCGAAATCACTTCTTCAACAACCTGATGTCCGCATTCGCGGCTCTTCAAGCAACATAAGCAAGATTCCAGATGATCTGAAATCCGACTCTCGCATTTCGTTGGTGCAGAGCGACCCATACGACACCGAGACGTTGCGCACTTTGGTGCGCGGTTGCGACATGGTACATAATATGCTGCTACTTCTCGAGCAACGAAATCATGTTCGAAGCACAGAAAGTTTTAATTGACCTTTGTGAAAAAGAAGGTGTACCACGTTACATCGCCAGTGACTACACTGTAGAATACCGCAAGCTCGATCCGACCGACATGGTGATCAATTTTTTTACAAACGATATCGTAGCATACTTGGACACAAAGCTTGGGGTTAAGGGCGTGCACATCATGGTCGGTCTTTTGATCGAGACCTTTATTGACCTTTTCGACGCCTGGCGCCCGGAAGCGAACGAGCTTCGGTATTGGGGGACTGGTAATGAGAAATTGGACTTCACCTCATATCAGACAGCAGCAGAATATGTTGCTGCTGTGGCTCTTGATCCGAATGCATCCGGCTTCTTCAAATGTAGCACTCCCCCACTGACGCGTTGACTGCATAATACTTAAGATTGCAATTAGTCAGAGGAGATCATAAAAGCATGATAGAAATCGCTAATGAAATCGAATCAGTGACTGGTTCTAGGCCATTCCTCAAACGCAACGGACCTTTGGTCGACTTTGAGAAGCTGTTGGATGGCGCTGGCAACATGGAGCAAGTCGCTGTGTAAGTTGCAACACCAAAGCCTATCCAAAGCTTAAGCTAACAAAGTGATTATCATATAGTGATGCGCAATACTTCATACTGACCGGAAAGGTATCCCTTGGTGATGATATAGACAACGCCAAGTACCCCTCCGTGAAGCCAGAAGCATTTTCTGTCGTACTGCGATGACGTTTGAAGTAAGCATGGATATGGAGATGACAGAATTTGAAATAATGAGACCCCAACAATTGGTGCTAACAAGACCGTTGTGACCTTTTTCATGGACTAGGAATTTGAAATTCAAGAGGATGAAGATGAGGAACATAATAACCCTACCCAGCAATATCTATTATTTAGGTTCGAATCGTAATACATACTATAATAGTAAACTTAAGAATATTAAATTTCAAAAACGATTGGAATACTAGAGTTTAAAAAAAAGCAGGTCTTACCTGAACAGCGCCGTAATGATACGTTGCATTTTATAGTAGCGTTATAGACAATACGCTTTACAAGTTTTAAACTCCCATACACACAGATCAGAAAAATATTAGTATACAAGATCAACCAATTCAAGCGCATAATCCAGCGCAGCTATCATTCTCATCTCAAGATATCGCAAGCAGGTTACGGACCAGACCACATTTCGTCATGTCAAACCCGAATCCACTGCCACTTTGTCCAAACCCCAGTTTATAGGTGAGAAGACTCCCTTTTCTTCAGCTGATGCGCCTAACCACGTGCTAGTCCAGCAACTTCCATTACCAACCCACCTATCCAGGCGACCGCGAGATTTTATAAGTAGAAACACGGCTGTCATGATGCCCCCCCAAAACAAGTTTCGATTGTATCGCAATACAGTCTCAAAACCCATATTTCTTCTTCATATCCTTAGCTTATCTCCCTTGGCTATATCTAAATATACACACAGACACACTGTGTGAACTCGGAATTGCTTAAGTTCAAGCTACACAAGCATCCAGTAAAAATCCATATCAAGTAGTATACAAAAGTGTTAAGAGGGGCCACGGCTGAAGATTGGAAAAAGCATAACATGATAGGAATGGAAAGAGGAATTAATAGACAGAAAAGGTGCTTGCGCTCCCGATTGGAGACGAGAGAAGCAAGTTAAGTAGACAAGCCTGGCTTATAGGAAAGAAAGAAAAAAAAGCCTTCTCGTCAAAAAAAATTTCCACCAAACACGGAATCCCATCCTCTTTCGAACTCACACTACTATCATTTACTCCCTCTTACAGCTCCCTCTTACAACCCACTCTTCTACCCCCACCTACCCTACCAATTTTCACACACCAAAGAAAAAAAGCACTATTAAACCTTCATTCATTAAAAGAAAGAACATATTACATTCATCTAGCAATACCCCTCTCTAAGACACATTCCGCAAAAAAATAAAAATTCAACATAACTACATTACTCCTTTCCTACCTCATCCAACTTCGACATCATAGCCTGTACCTCCTTCACAATCGCTTTCCTCTTAACCCTCGCATCGGGATCACCCTCAGTATCCACGCCATCGAGCTTGAAAATGATTTGCGTGAGTATGGTTTCGCTCAGCTTCTTATACTCAAACGTCTTTTTTGCCTTGTCTTCGGGTGGGTTAGACATGAACTGTATGCAGAGTGGCACTAGCTCAGTATGGAATTTGCTGGCGACGGCGTCGAGTTTGCCCATGGGGGTTTGAGGTTGGGCAGGCTTGGAGGTGCTTTGTGGCGGCGCAGAGGTAGGACGGGGTGCGGCGTTGATGTGGGAAGGGATGGGGAGGTATTCCGCGCCAGCTCCAGCGGTGGTGTAGCCAGGTGTCGAAGTTCCGGATGCGTTGCCGGAAGAGACACCCTTCTTCTTGCTCTTTCTGCCGCCGCGCTTGCGAGACTTCTTTTTGCCAGATGTATTTACGCCGGAGTCGTCATCGTCGTCATCGTCCTCTTCACCCTCGCTCCAGGCACGCGGTGGTGCCTCTTCTGAAGCAACCGCATGACCGCCGATAGGTGCCTCGCCTACTGTGACTAGAATCTCACTACCACTACCATCACCACGCAGCCCTTCTTCCCGCCCCGTCCGCTCATCGTGCTTCAAATTCCTGCCCTTGTAGAACATACGTATCTTCCGGTAATCATCGACGCCCAACTTCTTCGCCGCGGCCTGTCGTACCGTACCGATCTTGAGGTCTCCATCACGTATGCTGCGCGCCGGGAAATGTGTAGGATAGTGGGTTCGTCCGTGCTTGAAGATGAGCACATCTGTTTCTCGCTCCGGGTTCTTGTCATCCCAGTCTACAATTTCAGGTGTTGATGCCTGTCCATTTCGACGCAAATCTTCGTTTGTGATGTACGAGAAATCGGAGTCGTTTACGACGCCAGCGTTGGGCGAGTTACCAGGGCGGCCAAATGGCGAAAAGCGCCCTCCCCAGCTGCCGCCAGCGCGTGAGAACCAAGACATGCCCACAATAATGGAGGCCAGTGCAATAGTAACTGTGACAAGGTAGGTCGGATCGTCAAAGCGAGGGTTCGTGACGATCTCGGTGATATCGCTCAGACCACGATTCTGCAGGAAGCGGATAGCCTTTGATAGCGCGTTTGTAGACTGATGCTCGGGATCGTGTGAAGAAGCTGTGTTGTCGCCTAGTAAAGAGCTGCTGTTGAAGAAATTGAAGGACTTCTTCAATTCGTCGACTAGGGTGTTCAGCGACGCCACGGTGTTCGAGTGAGGCGCCCTGCTAGTTAGCAAGGCGTGATGTGTCCGCGCGTACTCAGATGACGTAGTAAGTAGTTAGGAAAGTCCTTGTGTGTGCAGTGGGGGCTTCTATGAGCGGTCGGAACCGCTCGTCTGCTTCGATCGGCCAAACGTATTAGCGAAGTGACGTCGCACTAGGAAAAGGTCCGACTAGGCTGCGCACGAGACCGCTAGCAGCCATTTGACACGTGATGTGGAACGACGTCAACAAAAGAAAGCAGGTTCACAGCAATTGGACACATTTGACGTGAACAAGCAATTTTCAATTCAGTATATGTTACACAAGCTGAGCTTGAACATCGAGACCAATTTCGCTGTATGCAAAGCCCATCGGACACATGAGATGCTATAAACCGAAGAACAGATCTTGACTGCTCATATCCTACGCAAAAGCACCGATTATTACGCCCAGCTCCAGTGACATGTAAAAAGACGCCGATTTCATGAAATTAGGAAAGTGTCATAAGTCGTGTTGGTGGATTATATCCCTATGTAGAACGCCAAGAAGCAACAAAGTTGGAAGGGCAAACAAGTGGCGTCCGAGAGAGTTCATGGTTAGACCTTGCTCCGCTTGGGTGTGGCTAGAAATTCCAGCCTCGATTTGCTGATAGTGTTGGATCGGCTTCCTGGGGTCTGACGTGGCAGCTTGTTGGTGCGGGCGGGAGTCTTTGGAGTAGGTGCAGATGTATGCTTGATTTTCTTGGACGAGCGCGCATCCTCTTCGGCAGGGCCGTCATTTTCCTTGTCAGAGTTCTCCTGCAAAGTTTCTAGCTTGCGCTTGCTGCCTTCGGCACTCGACGAAGTGTCACTGTTGCGGACCATGCGGATCGTGCCGGCTGATGCAGGGCCTGGAAGAATATCAGCAAAAGAGATCCAATCAACTCGGACCAATCATACGTACCAAAATTGACAGCCTTGCCAGACTCAAATGAAAAAGAGCGTGGGTGGTTGGGGGCCTCGCCGCCGAATACGAGACGTCGTGATGGTGAACCTTTCAAGGTTTCGGCTTCTTGAGACAGCTCCAGATTATTGACGACAGAGCTCAAGTTGGGATATATCACGGCGCCGGTGGGAACCTCACTGCCTGCACCAAACTTCATTGGCGATGGCGACTTGCCCAATTCTTCGTGCGAAGCTCGCTCTAGAGTACTACTAGAGAAATTGACGTGCTTCTTCACAGGAGCCGTGGCTGGAACTGCGGTTAGGGCATTGTCCAAGTTCGAAGACACAGGGGGAGACAAATGTGTGCCTGCTGCGATCTTGTTGGGGTCATTCGAGTACTTGCGGTTGGGAGTACGAAGGATGGAGCGAACAAGCTGAAGGTTGTGACTTGCCTATACAATATCAGTAAGATTCTGATGATATTGAGCATGGCTACATACCTTGCGCAGACCTTCTCTTGCACCATCCCTCATAGCCCGTATTTGGCTAAGATTACTGGATGGAGACGATGCTTGATCTGTAGATGCTGACTTTGCCATTTTGACCGTAGAAGATGATTTGCCAAAGGTCGAAATCATCGAGGTGGTCTTCAGGGTCTTGACGCTTTGTGAACGGGCGGCCGACGACCTTGTGGGCGTCATCAGACGAGCGGCCAGACGGGGAAGCGCTGTCTGAGACATGATTTTGCGCGCTGGAGTTGCAATCGCAGGCGTAGAATCGTCAGAATTCTTCTCATGAGACTCAGGACGGGTAGTCGCAGCATCGTCAGACTCGGTGCGTTTGACCCGCTTTGATGTTGGGTTACGACTGCTTTCGCCATCTCGTGAGGTAGGACGGCCGTCGCGATTCGGGGGCGCCATGCGGCGCGCAGGCTCAGAATGTGGCACGCTGGGGCCGGCAAGATCCATCTTAGACAGCGTGCGCTTCAACGGTGTTGGTGGAACATTGCTTCCGGAAGCTGTCGTGGTCGACTTGGACTGCGTGCGCTTCAGGCTACTGTTGGGGTTCGCGCTCGACTCTGCAATATCGATCTTGGACTGTGTGCGCTTGAGTCTGTTTGTCTCAGGCTTCGCAACGTCCGGCTTTGAAGGCGATTTCTTAAGCGGCTGGCCAATAACAGGCTTGAAGCGAGATGGGTCGGCACGGAATGCAGAAGGGTGGTTGGCGATCGAGTCCATATTCTTGAACTGCTTCATATGCACATCGCTGAAGCGGGCCAATTTGCCCTTGGCTTCTGCCTTTTTGCGTTGGGGTGACACATCGGCTTTGGAAGACCACTCGCTAGTACCTGTCGAGTGGTTAGAATGAAAGGCATGCACAAATTTACATTATCACTAACCAAACAAGGCACGGCTACCGGCACCAGGGGTACCTGTGATACCAGCACCCTTCAAGATGTTGCGCGAGCTTGGACTCAATCCGGCTTCGTCTGGTTTGGGGCCCTCGAGCACAGGAGACTTGAACCGAAAGCGGAAATCCGGCGAAGACTCGATGTTTGAGATCAAGCCTGTAGTAGTGGGTACAGGAGTTTTAGAAGGAGTAGCCTGACCTGTCGCCAGACCAGCTGCTCTTGGTGGTGCAGTGTGCGCGCCCAGCGACTGGAACCCTAGCCAACGCGCCTCATCCAAAACCTTGGCCGTGCTTGCATGATGATGCGCCGGGTGCATTTCCTGACCTGCAGGCTTGATAGTGGTACGGTCCTTGGGCGTGCGAATCTCCGTAGCTGCAACGGACAGCTTGGCTGAGCTATTCTTATGGGGCGTAGGGGTAGCCATAGCTGGTACTTGCGCCGGCTGGGACGTAGGCTGAACGTCCTCAGAGGGCTTTGACTGCGACGGGGTCTTCGTGCCTGGTTCTGGGAGCTCAGGGAGATCTGGAAGTCCTAGGTCTGCAGGGGACGCGTTGTGCCGGCTGTCGTTGGGCTTTGTTGATCCATCAGGCGTGGCCTCGCGCTATCGAAGGAGAACAGGTCAGCAGATGTAAACAAACAGCCTTGGGGCAACAGCAAGACAGAGATGTATACCTTCAGGAGACGAGCAGAGCGACGCGCCATGTTGCGCTGAGTTTTCAGGCAATTGCGAAGCTTGAATGAACAAGGGAGTTGAGGGTGGAGAACGAAGATGGTCTGTGGGTGGGGAGAGACGGGATACGGGATGTGGGAGTAAATCGGCTAGGGCGTCGATAAACAAAGTGCACGGACCGTGTTTTTTCCTAATAGGACACGACGTCATGATGTGGCTTTCTTGGTCCAGTTTAGTCGCATTCGAAAGGTGAGGGAGAGTGACATGAGTATCTTGTGGTGCAAATTTCGGATGTGATGGCTTTTATTCACGGGTTGTTAGCTGCAGATGCCAGACGCGTGCAGCTATCATCATTGGAATCAAGCGCAAAGAGCGTCTCGAAGTTGAGTACTTTCTTATTACAGGAGATGTGGACAAGCTATTCGTGTAGATGCTGTCTCACTACGCGATGCACTCTGCGTCAAGTCCTTGTGCCTGGACCAATTACCAGTCCTTCTCGGTCTTCTTCCCAAGCAGTGCACCAGGTGGCTTAGCCAGTTCTGCTTCAACACTTCTTTCTGCCTGCTCGCGCAATCCCTCCTTGGTTGCGTCTTCGACCTCTCTTTCTTTCTTACCCTCTTCTTCGCTCTTCCATACAAAGTTGCCTGCTCCACCTCTTCCGCTCCTCGCAATAGGCAGCTCTTGGCCCTCGGGATGCCATGGCGTGCTAACCTGCGGGGTAGGAGATGTAGGAATAGCAGTAGAGTCGCCAGGTTGAGTGAAGGTACCATCTTTCTGCAACTCAGTAGGCTGATACCAGTTGCCCGCCCCGCCTCGGCCCATGTGTGCATAACTTTGTGATGCATTAGAGGGCTGCGCTGTGGATGGAGAGCGAGAAGCTGGTGCGACGGACGAACCAGCGTGGTTTGCCTCAATGTCCTGGATATAATGTCAACTCGGGTGTAATGCATAGATTGCAGAGCTTGTGTATGCACCCACCTCGGCAGCCTTCTTGCTCTCTTCCTTCGCTGCATAATAATTACCTGCACCTCCTCGCCCGTATGCCATGATGTCTTGATGTATGAAGCTGATTTTTTTGTAAACAAAGACAGTATGTCGCTCTGCTGGATAAGGCAAGCGTGCGTGTGATGGCTAGTTAACGGGTAAGAAAGCACAGAGACCAGCGCTCACATGTCGCAATGCATGGCACGCGGCTCCGAGTGGGTCGCGTAAAACTATAATTATAAGCACCCGGCGTTCTGGACAGATAGGAACGTGGGGAAAGATGACGGTTGGTATCGGGTATCAGTGTGGGGGATTAAGGCCGATTACACATGCACATGGGCCGTAGGCTTGGCGAACGATAAAGAAGCATACCAAGCAGGTACATAGCACAGCACAAAGGTTGGCAAGCATCAACTACCAAGCAAAGATGTAGACTTATTTAGCAAATGCTAACAGATTGAAACATATGAAATTCGCCCTCCATGACTAACTAATGTATAACTCAACAAATCGGTCGTAAAAGGCATTTTCCCTAGTAGTGACCATACAAAGAACAGAAGCAAGACATGGCCGTGTTAACAAAGTACCCTGAGCCTATCCCTCGACCGGTAGTGGTTCCTCACGAACACCTTGACGCCAATCTTCCAGCCCAAACTCCGCAAAGCATCATGAACCTTTCTGAGCTACGTCAGACCTATTCCCGTCCTTCTTGCACAGCGCGCAAGACTGGGTAAAGGTTGTGAGCATCATCATCGCTCATGCGGCGCTCCTCGTCGTGCTTGACATCTTCCTCGTCGTCGGAGAAGTCGTGCGCCTCGAGCCTTTCCTTGAGGTAAGCACGGAGTCTCTCAATTACACGGATGTTCTCAACCCAAGATTGTTGAGATGAGTCGCCCTGCTCGGTGGTCGACGAAGACACGCTTGGCGAGCGAAGAGCGGGGTCAACCTTGGGAGAGTGGAGAGCCAGCTGGTTAACGTTATGGTGAAGGCTATCGTGCTCAGAATCGTGACGATCCTTGGGAGAACCAGCGTCGCTTGAAGTATCCATAGAGCTCTCTGATCGATCAGGGGCAGCCTTCTGCAGAAGGTTACCAGAGAATCGTCGACGGTTGTCCGTGTCGAAAGCTGGGGCAAGTCCCGATGACGGAGCTGCAGCGGACATGTCCGACATGGCGCTGACAGACGGAAGAGTGGGGTACATGCTACCGATCGAGTTCCTTGATGTGGGAGAAACTCCGCTGGAGTGGGAGGCGCCAGGCGAGTGCTGGGAGCCGTAGGATAGAACGCTGGACGCGGGGGTCAAGGCTGGAGTCTCGACGCTAGTAGATCCGATAGCAGTGGTGTGGGAGGATTGCGAGTGGCTAGAAGAGAGGCCAGGTGGTGAGTTGCTAGAGCGGTAACCGGCGCCAGTGTGGATGTAGTGGCCAGGGTGAGCAATACCAGCTGCGGCAGCGTGGTTGGGGTTCTCATAGACGGTGCTCTGCAGTTGCTCAAGGAACTGGTCAATGTTCAGAAGATCGCTCTTGGTCCTGAGGTTGGGTAGTGGCAGAGAGTAGGGGTGGTGCATGGGTGGGTGCTGTCCCTGAGCAACCATGGTGCCTCCATGGCCGTACTCACCCATGCCGCCCTGGTAACCGCCGCCGCCGAGAACTGGGAGTTGAACACCCTGCAGGCCCATGAGACGCTGGCCAACGTCGTAGTAGGTGGTAGGATCGATTGCACGACGCTTAGCATCTCCGAAGAACTCGTTGAGAGCATCATAAGCAGCACGCTTCCTGATCTCGTAGTCGTTGTTGAGCTGCTGAGATTGGTTGACTGCATAGTAAACTGGTCCATAGGCAGAGTTCTGGGGTGGACCTCCATAGAAGCCAGCTGGTGCACCACCGGGATGTTGTTGACCGTAGCCTCCATTGGGTCCAAGTGCACCATCGGGATATTGATATCCACTCGCTGTAGCGGCAAGCGCCTGCAAGTCAGCGACCACTGTAGCCGTCTGTTAGATATTGAAAGGGGATGGAGGGAAGACAAGTCCAAGAATATGTGTTTTGGGACAAGTCAGATGAGGAGGACTTACGTTTACCGTTCTGGCCCGGGTAGCCTTGAGCGCCGTGGGCGCCGCCTCGGTTTGGCTCTGGTGAGCGGAGCAGGACAGAGTCGTCGGCGTGAGTCTTGACGTGCTTCTTGAGATCCTGGGGGCGCTTGAAGGCCTTGCCGCAGAAGTCGCACTTGTGCGGCTTCAAGGGCACGTGAACACGGATGTGAGAGGTAATGTGGTCACGCTTAACGGTTGTTGTGCGGCAGTTGCCCCACTGGCACGTCAAGTTGAGGTTGTTGGTGCTCTTGCGGCCAACGTGACGCTCACAAACGTGGTCCTGGGAAATGGTCAGCACACTGTGGGAGGGTGATGCTGCAGGCGCTCCGAAGGGAGGTTTAGCATAGGATGATCATTACTTACATAGAGCTGCTCGGCGGATGGCAGGCGGTCGCCGCAGTTCTGCCACTGGCAGACTAGCTGGTCGCCGGAGCCAGCGCCAGCTACTGAGGCGGGCGTTGGGGCATTTTGCTGGATGGGGGTGCCCTGAGGCTGCTGTTGCGGTGTGGTGGCCGCCGCTGGTACGGCGTTCTGTACGTCGCTCATTCTTGGCAGGGAGTGGTAGAGTTGTTGTGGAGTGCTTGGAAGTGGAGAGGAGAAGAAGAAGAGGACGAGGGAAGAGGAAGAAAATCAGACCACAAAGCGTCTAGATAGGCAAGACTGCGGTCGGCTGTGCTGTGGTAGACTGGACTGTACCAAATTGCGGGGGGCAAAGGCGCGTCCTTGGAGGACAGGAATAAGAAGAGAGAGAAGAGCGCCGAGACAAGCAAGATGGATTTCGCGGGGGGAGGGGGCGCTGAGCGTCTGATGTAGGGGACTGGGCAGTGCTCGGAGCGGAGCTGGTCACACCCTGCTCCTGCCAATTTTCTTGGGGCCAAGTTTTAGACTGCCGCGCTAGTGCGCGCTTGGACCTTGGCCTAATAAGCCGGTCGCATCGGACGCATCCCAAAAACCCCTCAACGACGAATCGGCGCGTGCTTCGACTGGCCATGGGCGACAGCCGTTCTCTCTCCCCTTCCCAGCAGCCGGCCCTCCCGCTGCGAGCTGGGGGGAAGGGGGGTTGCGCGCTTTCGCTTTCACCATCGCGCTCCGACAGGCAGTTTCTCCGTAGCCGCTCGCCCTCTTCACCTGCTGCGCCTTGGCTGCCTCTGCCGCCGCAAAACACGCTCGCCCGCCTCTTCACACGCTGCGAGTCTCCCTGCCGTTGCGACGTGCTGCAAGGCCAGTCGCTGATGGCTGCTGGTTGCTGGTTGCTGGCTGCCCAGCTCAGGCGGAGTTCTTGGGGCATAGCGGAAATTCTTGTCCGGCCATACCCACACCTACACCCTCTGTCTGGCCCGTCATCGGCAAAGGCCGCGTGCCTGCAGTGGCGACTCTTCTCTGCCGGCCGGCCACCATGCCCCGCCATCCTCTGGACAAAACAAGATTGGCAGCAGCCAGAGTAGCCAAAGCAGCCCCCCAGGGATCAGACTTGCTCCAGCGGCCACGCTTGCTTGCTTGTTTGCTTGCCTGATTACCTGCCTTCGTGCCCACATGTAGCCCTTAGCCCTCTCTGCCCACATCCCAGCATTGTGTCACACGTAACTCTGACGCTTCGAAACCACGCCGTCGCCACGACCACCGTCCCAGTCGCCTTGACAGCCGTGGCTCACTAGCAATTAAGTACTTTCGGCCCTGGATCCGCTTCACGCAAACCTAGCTCTTGGTCTCCATGTCTCTAACCCCCATTTTCACACCAAACTCGAGCTGCCTCTTCTAGGTCGGCTGACGTCGTTCGGCGCCTTTTAACCTGAGCAGCCGCAATCGTGCACCGCGTCCTTGATTGGGCAAAATACTCCCTGTATTGCACTACACTACACTACACTACATTACATTACATTACATTCATCCATCTGCCAACCAGCAAGCATGGAGAGGCCGACTTTGATTATCAGTTGGTCCATGAGAGTCGATATTGCTAATATGCGAGCGGGATTCCGCTGCCCACTTGGCAATTGTTCCAGCCAAGAGTGCCCAGATTTTTTGAGGGTATTGGCATTATGGCTGTGCCAGCTTGGACCAGCGTTTGCTAGCCCCGTCTCAGGGTATCGCCGCGACATCATTTACTGACACTCTCAACCAGACTATTGCTTCGATCTGACATACCGCCTGTTCTGCGCTGTAGGAATAGTGGGCGCTCGGAGCAGATATACGTCACACTCTTTAGATCAGTGTAAAGCTTGCCGCGTCTGCTGCATACGCCACGTCTTGGCACTACATCCAGTTCTCAGCCACATATGCGCTCTCGCCATGCTCGCTGCCGGACGAAATGCCGCTGGACCGAGTGGATAACACCTTTTGTTGAGGAAATCAGCCACTTTCGTATGCCAAACTGCACCGCCACGTGCCTACGGCAACGCATACCACGGCACAATGACGAGCGCCATGGACGCGCATAGGTCTGTTGACGTCTGTCGCATGTCTTGGACCTCGCTGCGGAATCTCTTGGGAACCAAGAGCGGGCGGGACATGCGGGTGCACTCACTTTGCCAAGCTGCGCACAACTTAGCTGCACCCACATTACTACCTCCCAGAAAAACAGACCCCTATTCCACACTTACATACTACATACGCTTGTGGAGGGAACAGTTGCGGGGCCGAATGTTTAGAACACGGATATTGATCCAAAGCGGTATTACCTAAACGCTCATCTCACGTTCTTTTTCGGACACACTTTGATTTCGCTGTCATCTTTATCCAGTAATCTTGTCCAGTAATCTAACGTGACGGTACAATACGCACGGATATCCCTCGTTGGAAACTTAGTGCTCACATGGCCAAGTCGACTTGGATACTCTTAGATCCCGATTCAGAGGAAGATTACGTATGACTGTAATGCTTCTAGCCCTCTCCTGGCTCATCACACAAGCAAAGAGGTAGCATTACCAAGCCATTATGGGAATAGGATACGTAATATGCCTTTTACGGCGGTTTTATTAAGGGCGACAGAGCACACTGTATTTTTAGAGGCTGTAAGCACGTTGTAGACCATCCTGCGTCGGCAATATGAAACGGGTTACACTAATATTGCTGCAACATACGCGTCGCTTGGCATATCGCCGATAGATTAACCCGAGGGAAGGGGGGAATAGATAGGCATACAATGTGTGGTAAATCCAGCGAGCATTCTGCGCATCACAATATCTGGCACTTGCGGTGCTTGGGGTTCTTTCTTGGGCAAAACACAAGGAAACTTCTTCTGAAACACCTCGGTTTGATGGCAATGAGCCAGTCTGCGTTAGAAAGCAACACAGCCACCCCATGTTCCCGTGTTCCCAGTCTTCCTGCAGTCCTAGTGCATACATACACACGTGGGCACGGTTAAAAAACGTACCAAGAAACATGCCAATCTTTTCCAGAAGGAAAACAAAAACGGTCCTTCCCGAAGACCTGAATATACTCCGATGGCGTCGAGTTAGTGAATCTTACATCGTACTACAAAGATTACCTTACATCGGCGATGTAAAAGATTGGAAGAGAAGAAAAATTCGGACACGCACATGTACACGTACATGCGTACACTTGCTTCCAGTCAGGCTAGAAAGTAACCAAGACCAAGACCAAGACCAAAACCAAGACCAAAACCAAGACTAACCATCCATGTCCCGGAAAGAGGAACAAGAGGTTAAAAAAAAGAAAAGAGTCTGGAACCAAGATGCTTAGCCGTCTTCACTACAATCTTATCTATCCGCCAAACAATGCCCCCTTCCCTTCTCGGACAACTCCCAAATCTGAACAAGCTCGACTTAGTCTATACATCAGATCTAGATCTCACCAAGCCTACCCACACCCTCAAAAACGCCCACACGCTCCAACTCCTCAGCCTCGACACGAGGCAATGCACTAACAGTATCAGCTCTTCCAAGAGCACTCTCTATGCTCCCCCAGAAAGCATCCAAGTCAACTGCTCGCGGGATCCTGCAACCAGGCTGTCCAGGAGGAAGCTTCGCCACTTTAGTCCTACCGAGCTCACCAACTAGCGATTTATCAGACGAGTGAACACCGTCCGTGACGATATCAACGAGGAAGCGCTCGCCGTCTCGGTCATCGAAGATGTGTGGGTTGTATGCTGCGGAGACGGCGAGGGGGTCGTGTAAGGGGGGTCCTTGGGTGATGGAAAAGATCTCGGCGTAGGTGGAGGCGAAGAAGGACATTATTTGGGTGAAGAGGGCGCGTAGGGGGGCTGGCGTTGGCTCATATTTCGATGTGGTTGAGGAATTGTCCCAGATTCCTGAGCCGTAGAGGAGGGTTTGTCGGACTTTGCGGGTGCCGAGGACTTGGTGGGTGAGGTCGAGGGGGATTAGGGTTGTTTTGGGGCGGAGGGTTGGGTTGGAGAAGATGAGGTGCGAGGCTTCGGGGTCGCACTGCGAGTGTGTTAGTGTTGGGCTGTGGTAAGTGTGATTTGAAAGGTGAGTGGTTACGTAGATCTGCGATGTGTTAGCTTGTGGTTTGAGAAGAATAGGGTCGGGAAAGGTAGGTTTACGTTGAACTCGGCGTAGGGGGTCCAGTTGCCAAATCTCTCTCCCTCGCCTTCTACTTTACCCATTGGCGCATCTGTGAAACCTCCGCCGACGGCCCCTCCCATGATGCTGAGGCCTTTGATGTGACCTGCAAGATCGGGGTATTTCTGGAATAACAAGCCAATGTTGGTCAAAGTACCTGTAGAAACTAGCCAGGCGGTGTCTGGAGGGGTAGCAATGAGCGCTTGGTATGCTGCCTCGAGATGGTCGACATCGGTGGCTGCTGGCTCAACTGGCAGTGGGAGCAGTGTGACTCCGTCTAACCCGGACTCGCCTGCGAATATCAGTGCGTGTTCACTGAGCTTTGGGTCGTGTAGGTACCATGGATGTCGACTGCGTGTACAGCATCGCGGGCAATCGGCTTCGCTGCGCCCGAGTAGACTTTAACATCGCGCCTACCAACGGCTTCGAGTATCGCTCTAGTGTTGTAGGTCGTCTGGTCGAGCGCAGCGTTGCCGTGAACTGTGCTTACACCAAGTAGCTCGACCTGAGGGTCATGGGCACACAAAAGAAGTGCGTATGCATCCTGAGACACAGCGTTGAGTAACAAGCGGGCGGCGATGCAGCTATCACACACTCACATCATGGCCGGTATCCTTACGGGACGAGGGTCAGTACTCATGGGATGCGCAGAAGACAAAAGCAGGTACACACGCAGTCGAGCCAAATCAGGGTCTTGGGAGCAGTAGCAGACATAGTGCACATGTAAGTATATTGCAATTCGTTACCAATAATGACCAGTTTGGGAAGACACCTTGCACCACCTGCGGTACACATGGGCGCTACACACGCCGCTTGGCCATGCATGACTGTGTTTAGCGGGGTGGCCTAACCGCCTGTGTAGCAAATGGACCCATGCCTGTCAACGCTTGAATACACGCCTCTTTATTCAAGCCCCAAACTTCGCGCACAACCATACGACAACTCCAAAACTGGGTTTCACGGAAATTTGCAACAAAAGGGCTGGAAGGTGATAGATTTGAAGAACGGGGTGGTGCCTGTATTATCTGAACATAGCACATCTCCCATTGGCTTATCGCCTTCTTTGGCGCCAGTTCAGTCAGCAAATGCGTCCAAGTGGGAAAGTCTAGCCATCAACCAACTCCGACTTGTGGCCGTGATCGTGACACGTACACAACAGCCAGAGTATATATCGTCAGAAAATAGCTCTCCACGTTGATTGTTTTGATCCCGACTTTTTGCTGGCAAACCTCACCGCCAGAGTACTAGTTACTGTTGCTATCTAGCCGAGGTTTCCGCCGTCGCAGGAAGTTCCTCTATAAAGCTTACACCGCATGCTTTGACAAAACCAGTATGGATCTCCTCCGCCGCCATGAGGGTCACCACGAGGTGAAGACGGATCGGTACTGGGCTTTTGGGTACTACTTTGAATCTCTCGACGACAAGCAGAAGCACCAACGCCGCGAATATCTGGACTGGTATGGATTTGCTGCCCAGTGGTCGGTGCTGGTCATTTTTGCGCTATTCCAGCTGGGCTTTGCCATTTCATGGGTGATCAAAAGTGGCTTGAAGTACGATCAGCCAAAATCTCCTTCCTTTGCAAAAAGCACAAACGATAGGTTGGGGTGGTTGAGAAAAGTGCACGGCGGGTGCAACAGGATCATATGGTGGATGCGAAAAGATGCCATTAGGGGTTGGGCCTGGGGAACAAGAGGAGAGTGGATCGGTGCGGCTGCGTGGACAATATGGCTGCTGTACCTCTGCGTTGCACACACTGGAAAAGGTATGTTTGATTTTTCCCCGAGCTTCATTTTTTTTCTTTGATTAATTAAGTGTAGATTATCTTCATCTGACGAAACGGTTCGGGCAAATTGGCGCATCACAACTACCAATTCACTACCTGCTGGCCATGCGAGCACCATACAGCCCGGTGCAGTTTCTGACGCGACTCTCACATGAGCAGATCAAGAATTTCCACCAGATTCTAGGACGCATCGTTTTCCTTCTGTTCCTGTTGCACACGGTATTCTACCTCAACTTCTTCGTTTTGTCCGGCTTCATTGCAAAGCGAATCAAGGACTGGGACGTGATCTGGGGCCTCACCAGCATCATCCTTTTTTCCATCATCAGCACCACTGCTCTTGGGTTCGTGCGGAGGAGAAACTACCGCGTCTTCTACATTTCACATATTGCCATTGCAAACTTGATTATTGTGCCGCTATTTCTTCACGTATCGCATCTCCGCGTCTACGTGTATGAAATCATTGCGGTAGAGGCTCTCCATCTCGTCTTCCGTGCTTTGCGTCTCAAGACGTATCAAGGCACCATCAAGCTTCTCCCCGGGACCAATCTGGTTCAAGTTCGCATTCCATTACCATCGGACAGCAAAGCTCTAACTTGGAAACCTGGACAGCATGTGTACCTCAGCAAACCCGGGAATCAAGGCAAGACCCCCAAATGGTACGATCAAATGCTCGCTGTTAACAAGACAAACCCATTCACGATTGCATCTCTCCCGTCCAAAGACAGAGAATTGCTACTGATTGCGAGAACGCTCAACGGGAACACAAAATACCTTGCGGAGCTTGCGCGATCTCTGGCACAGGGGGGCAGCAGCGTACCCATGCTTCCCACAGCAGGCGGCGACATTCCAATATTGCCACTGACTCTCGAGGGGCCTTATGGTGGATCGACCCGGCTGCCAGACCTGTCAGATTATGACAAAGTGCTTTTGGTAGCTGGTGGCGTTGGAGCAACTTTTGTTATGCCCATCTATCGGAGCATTCGCGAGCTGCACAGCCTTACGCCTACAAGCACGCAGATCCGATTCATATGGGCAGTGCAGAAGCTTGTCGAGACCCAATGGGCATTCGCTGCAAACACGCAATCTAGGGATAAGCAGATGGACGATGACAATGACGATGATGATGGTGGTGCAGGGGTGCAAGCGAACGGAGATGGGCTGCTGCACGGACCGAGCAACGTGGAGGTTTATGTGACACGGCCGTCAGGACCAAATCTGCAAGTCAATGCGAATGCGTCTGGCGGTGCATTTGCCGTTGACTCGGATGATGAAGATGGAGAGGCGATCGAAATGCAGGAGAATGAGCAGCTGTTGAGTATGGAGGAGCAGATGGAAAAACCACGCAAGGGCATGGCGATCAAGAGTGGGAGGCCCGATCTCAGGGGAATTGTAGACGAGGTCTTCAGCAAGGGGGTACGGAGTGCTGTGATTTGCTGTGGTCCCAAGCGGATGACAGACGATCTAAGGAGCAGTGTCGAGGTATGGGTGAAGAAGGGCCACGATGTGTTTTGGTACGATGAAACGTTTGGCTGGTAGTGATGATCGCGTCCGGTTCATAGCTTGAAGGCTTTGGAGTTCCAGACTGAGCATCGAAGACGATTTTGATGGTGATCATCTTGTCTACTTAAACCCACCGTCGACCCGGCCGTTGGGCGCGGGTCATGGGTCGTCCCATGGGCTGGCCATGCATCCTTCTGACAGGATGTTCCCTGGTGCATGGCAGTGTGTTTATGCGTATGTCGATATACCTGCTATATACTACTCACAGAGTTTGCAGCGTCTGCTCTGCTGCCTAAGCACTACTACTACTTGCTTAACTCAAGCAAACGAGTCCCACTGGTCACGACGCGGAACCCTGGGCCGTTGCCGCAGACTATCTTGCCAGGAACGGGAAAGGCGCAGGGAGACGGAAGCTTGTCTGGCAGTTGTGCATTGGGCAGTCGGCGTGCACAACACGTGCAATAATAACCAGACCGTTCATGCTGGTGCGCCGTGAGTCTGTCCGGCGACCGGGTCTTGTTACACGATGCTGTTGGTGGTGGTGGTAGTGTTGGTGATGAGGCGCGACAAGGGAGACGGCCACAGGGGGGCGCCAGAAGCCAGAAGGGGGTGCGGGCAAGGGAGTGAGGGTACGGATTTGCTTCTTCACGACTCAATCAATAGTCGACGCAACCATGCCGTCGGCTTCCAGGAGCAGCAGCTCCTATGACGGCCCCAAAGCCACTTTTGGAGCCAGGGCCGCAGATTAGTCGAGGCCCGGGCAGTCTTCTGCCAAGCACGAATCGCCCTGCTCCCCGGCTCTGAGCGCTCGACGGCATTCTCCAGCTCTCAAGTCCTCTCTCCTCCTGACGGGGCTCCCTCATCCCGTCGCGACTTGCTCACGCACTTCTTGTTTGCAGCTGCTGGAACGCTGAGCACGCGACGTCGACCCTTCAATCGCTACCCTTCTCCTTTGCCCTTCTCCACCACCACCACTATACACTATTTTTTCCTTGTCCCCTTCACTTTAGTCCGTTGTCACCACTCAACGGCCGGCCCTGCAGGGAATCTGCTTGCAACGCGCATCCAAAGCACCGCCCCTCGCCGCCTCGGACCCGTGTGTCCCCACACCCACCACGTCTTCTGCTCCTGCTCGCCCATGGTGCTTTGCTGGTAGTCACGAGTGCTCCATAGTAACGAGCGCCCACCGCCAAACCCCCGTCGTCTCCTAGCAGCCTCGCCTCATTCCCCGGACGTACAGGCTGGCAACGCCTGCTGTCAACATCGTCACTCGCACCTCCTCCTCCTCCCCCCCGGGTTCTTTCTACCTTCCACGCCGCCTCCCTCCTCGAATTCTGCACAACCGTCTATGGCTGCTCTCGCCTCCTCTCGCCAGACAGCAGCCCCCATCCAGCAGCTGACGCCGCCCAGCAGCTCTCACGGCGGACGGGGATCCTGGGATTTCGCTGTTCCCGTCAACGGCTTGGTGCGTACTCATTTCCCCTTTGCTGTCTGCATGTCTCACAACACATCAAACACTTGTCGCCCTCGCACTAGATGCGCTACTGCAGCGCTGGACCATGGTGCTTCCGCTTCGCCAAGTCTGCCCACTTGCCACATAATTCCCACTTTCACCAATGATGTCAGTGCATGGACTAGCCTGCTAACCGCATGCACAGAGAGAGTCGTTTGACCAAGAACACCACATGTCCGAGCACGGCGCCTACACTCACACTGCCCATCATTCCTACAGCTCGCAGGCCAACGGCTTTGCCCAGCCCGTACGCTCACCTACGTGGGACTCCCAAGATCAGGGTCGATCTCAACCCGTTTCCGATCGCGTCGGCGAACTGCACAAGAAGAAGAGCGGGGAAATGATTGCCAGCAACACTGACCAGGACAGTGTCTTGGAGTACTACAAGACTCATACCAACAACAAAAGAGGCCCCTCCAGCATTAAGGGAATGCCCAAGAAGAAGACTTCCAAGGGCGGTCAGTCGGACCCTGAATATGACGAAAACAACTGGATTCACCGAGACAAACTCAAGGAGATTGAAACTCGAGAACTAGAAGAGGCTGGCTTCAGGGTCGGGCGATCTAGCAGGTCCAACAGTCGTTCGCAAAGCACAAGCCGGCGTGCACGGGACCGCACAAACTCGGAATCGACCGAACAGTCAAAGAACGGCGATGAGCGGTCCGAGCCGAGGAAACGTGTATCCACTATTCCAGCTGGCGACGAGGAGGCGTACGAGAACCACTACACTGCCAGTCCAACACTCCAGGACGAGACTGTGGAATTCCAGCCCACGTCTTCCAAGGCGAACCATACCGTGAGACCTAGTACGTCTCGCATTCCACTGCCCAAGACGAGTGGTATACCTGTTCCTTCTTCGGTAGCAGACCGTGATGCGCCGCTTCCTAGGTCAAGGGCAGGAAGCACCCACTTGAACGGGGAATCCATTGCTACAATGGGCGCGCGCGTCCGCAGT